TCTCACAAAGATACATAGATCCAAATGGAAGAAGTATATTGTTGTCTGCACTTACTAATTCATGATACTCATTTTTCAATCCCATCCACCACTTATGCAAAGGTTTTTGTTGAAATTCAGCTCATATATTTTCATCTTCCCTGATGTCAATCAGCTGTTCTCACGAACTAATTGGAGGTGTTGCATTTTTATATCTTTAACAAATGGGTTCAAATCCCACTGAAACTGTATATATATATATATATGTATAAGTATACACGGTATTGGGTTTATATGGCAAGGTTTTGGTAGTGGGAGGGGCTGCATGGGTGGCTTCTGTGAGAACAGACCGGGGGCTGGCCCCATGTCACACAGAGCCAGTTCCAGTTGCCTCCTAAATGGAGCTACCGCGGGCCAAGGCTGAGCCAATCAGCAATGCTGGTGGAGCCTCTGTGATAACATATTTAAGAAAGGGTAAAAAAACACTGCACAGCAGCTGTGAGAGAGAGGAGTGAGAAAATATGAGAGAAACAACTATGCAGACACCAAGATTGGTGAAGAAGGAGGGGAGGAGGTGCTCCAGGCACTGGAGCAGAGATTCCCCTGCAGCCCCTGGAGAAGACCATGGTGACATAGGTTGTCCCCCTGCAGCCCATGGAAGACCACATTGGAGCAGATATCCACACTGCAGCCCATGGAGAGCCCACACCACAGCAGGTGGATGTGCCCTGAAGGAAGCTGCAGCCTGTGGAGATCCCACACCGGAGCAGGCTCCTGGCAGGAGCTGCGGCCTGTGGAGAGGAGCCCCCACTGGAGCATGTTTTCTTGCAGGACCTGTGGCCTGTGCGGGACCCACACTGAAGCAGTCCATTCCTGGAGGACTGCACCCTGTGGAGAGGACCCATGCTGGAGCAGTTCATGAAGGACTGTAATCCGTGGGAGGGACCCCACATTGGAGCAAGGGAACAGTGCGAGCAGGAAGGAGTGGCAGAGACGAAGTGTTATGAACTGACTGCAATCCCCATTCTCCATCCCCCTGCACTGCTCAGGGGGCGAGGAGGTAGAAGAGTCATGAGTGAAGAGGAGGGGGTGGGGAGAAAAGGTTTTTGGTTTTGTTCTTTATTTCTCACTACCCTACTCTGTTATTGATCAGCAATAAATTAAATTAATTTCCCCAAGTCGAGTCTGTTTTGTCTGTGATGATAATTGCTAAATGATCTCCCTGTCTCAACCCAAGAGCTTTTTTATCATATTTTCTCCTCTGGTCCTCCTGAGGAGGGGGAGTATAGAATGGCTTGGTGGCCATCTGGCAGCCAGCCAAGGTCAACCCACCACAAGTACAGAAGATTTTCATGGTCCCTCCCCATCTCATTACAAAGTATTGTAAAGATTCTACTGTTTCAAGGTCTTGTTTTTATGAAATTAACCACAACAATGACATCCTGTAGCACTTTGTGCATGTCTGGCTCCCACTTCTTTGCTTCAATAGCTTGCCTATGAACAATGCAGTGGATGAATTTCAGGTGTGGTGCTATCTGCGTAGCCTTACCACGCAATCCTTTTCTTACGCCAGCCAAAGCAGCCGCTCCACTGGTCGTTATACTTGCACAGCTTTTCCATAAAACATTTTTATTAAAGAAGGAGTTTACTGTTGAGAATATAGCTTCTCTGGTAAATCTCTCCTTTAGTGGCTCACAGAAAGTGGTTCTTCATGTATTTCCCTTATCGAAACAGAATCTAGCAAATACCATCAGCTGAGACATGTTAGAAACATCTGTACTTTCATCCAGCTGCATAGCAAGCCTCTCACACTGTGTAATTTGTACTGATACTTGTTTCTTCAAATCTTCAGCAATGTTGTCCATGCATCTTCCAACAGTGTTTGCTGACAAAGGAATGCATTTTAGTTTGCTGCTGTATTGCTTTCTGTGTATTATTTCAGCCATTTTTACCGTGGCAGGAAGAACAAGTGTTTCCCCAGTGGTATGTGGCTTTTTGTCTTTTGCTATGAAGTAAGAAACCTCAAAGGAGGCTTCTAAACATTTATCATTAAGTTCAGTGAAGTTTTGTAAACTACTGGATTGAATATCACACAGCTTGAAACACCGCTGAAAAAACTGTAGAGGTTTGTCTTCATGTTCTGGATGCTTAGTTTTTAAATGTCTTGCTAATTCTGATGGCTTCATCATTAGCTAACTTCTCAACGCACATTATATAGGGCAAGGTACTTCCTGTGCGTGTTGATCTGCATGGCCAGCTGTGTGCTTGAGTATTCTGACTGTATGTGCTTGTGTGTGTTTCTGTATATGCCTGAGGAGTATGTGCTCAGCCTCACTACCAGCTTGACCTCAGGAAAACAGAGCCACAGCATCCATGCATCATCAGGATAATGGATTCATCAACCTGTAGCAGTACAATCCTTAGATTATAGAATCTAATTAAGAAGAACAGTAAGTATAGAGACTGCTTTAAACAAGTATCATAAATACCATCTATGCTGGTGGTGTTTCAACAGGGTAGATTAGTTCTACATTTAATGAAATTATGTAACAATATACTAACATCTGTTAGTAGTTATTAACATACTACAGTACTGTCCTAATGGTACAAGTTGTTTGTACAATTAGACAATTGGACACAGATCATGTCAGCAAATTGCTTACAAAAATTATTCTTAATTTAGTTTCGGTTGACTATTAGTATGTTACAATTCATCCCATATGTAACAAACTACAGAACTTGCAGTTGTTTCATGCAACTTTCTATTGTCCTGGCAACCCATTCCAGGGAATGATCTTCGTTCCCAAGGCTAAGAGACCTGGAGTGACTCACATGCATATACCTATTGCACACCTCAAAAGTCAGGCCAAGCCTACCCTGTCTGGCAACTAATTGACAAGCTGACTGATACTGCTGCCATTCTAGCTGCTGTTTTTGATTCTACTGCTGCTGTATTCTCAATTACACTCAGGAATTATCTAGAAAGTACTGGACTAATCTTTTTCTCCAGGAAGGGGCAAAGTGAGCTGCTAAAGGGTAGATAATTTCTTCATGCTGCAGAAAATGTCCCTCCAGTTCCTGGGGTCATATTGTGTTGTGCACTTGGACCAGCAGAAAGTGCCAAATTTTGACATAAAGAAGGTCACCTTCAAGGTTCTATGCAGTGACCTAATGCCTGTCACCAAGTGTCACCATATCACATTCTGGGTGCAAAGAATGTCCTCCATTGCATTGTGTAGCCTTACCATCTCCGTGTTGATTTCTAGGCAGCCAATTTGAAGTCCATAGTGCAGATGGAGATGGAGGTCTCCCAGGCCATCTTCCAGACCGTCTACAACATCACAGAGATCAGATGGGTGTTAGCTGAACCTGAACTCCCCATCTTCATGGAGACAATTAACAAAGTACATATCCTCATATGCTGTTTATAGAGAGGCTACTATCAGTATATTGATTTCAAAAGCTACTCAACATGCTGCAAGTCCAGAGGGAGAAGTATGGGTGAAACATAGATTACAATGGCCATGTGTGTCAAGGAGCAGCAGGAGGAGCTGTTCCATAAGGGAAGGTGAGCCAGGAAGTTAGCATCACCACACGGCAGGCAGGGACAGTAAGGGCACTGGCAGGCATGCAGTCCCACAGCATATGAGCAAGGATAGCAGATAAGCTCTGTGATGGTAACTAGGGTCAGCTAGCAGTCCAGTGACTGCCAGACAAGTCCATAGTGATAAGGCATGTCCGAGATCAAGCCAGGAATTCAAGTCCACAGGTCAGGATCAGCATCCAGATCAGCTAAGCACATGTAAAAGCACAGGCATAGCTGCAGCATAGCTCAGGTAGAGACCAAGGGTGAGCGCCCAGCTTAGAAGAAGCTCCTGAAAATAAGGGGGGCCAAGCCCCACTGAGGCTTCTCACAGCAATTTGATTTAAGGTCAGGCAGCTGCACTGTGAAAGCTGTCTCTGAATCTAGGCAGCCAAAACCCCAGAAGCAGTGGAGAGGAAATGCACTCAAGGCCCTGACAAGTATGTACTACTGCAGTACCTGGGAACTTTATCAATAAGTCTATCCCAGTACCATTGTTCTACCATCTGGTGGTAACATGAATAATATCAGTGCTATTTAACACAAGTAAATTCCAAGGGTTTGACCAAGAAAACATTTTGTTTAAACAGAATTAACTACCACAGCTGATGGGTAGTTAAGTACATAAAGTAGTTCAGTAAATGTATAGAGAGTAAGTATACAGTGTACAGTATTCTGGGCTGTTTTAACAGGACCATAGCCACTAGATTAAGGGAAGTGATTCTCTCATTCAGCACTTTTTAAGACAGTATCTGGAATATTGCATCCAATATTCAGGGGTAATTTTATTTTTCTAGTGCAGATAATAAATCTGCAGATAACACTAGGCTTGGACTGGCCTCAAAGTTTTTGGAAGACAGATTCAGAATTCAAAATCATCTTGACAAACTGGAGATGCAGACTGAAAAAATATGGACAAATGCTTACAGATATGAATAAATATATGCATAAATACTGGATGGGGAAGAAGCTGTCAGCAGAACTGCGGAGAAGGATCTGGTGGGTACAGCAACAGTTGTGAAGACGATTGTAAGAAAGACAAATGGCATGCTGCGATATACAAACAGCAATTTTTGTTTGTTGTACAAATTAAGGTGTTGTACTGTTCTATGTAGCTCTATTAAGGTTGTGTTGCAGAACTGCCTTGTTCAGTTTAGAAGGAAGAAATCTGCAAAAGGGCTTACACATGCAAAAAATAACTCTGAAGATACAGGAATAAACTTTTCTCCATGTACATTATGGAGAGGGCAAGGAGTGGCAGGCTTCATAATTACAAAGTCAGATCCTTTTTACGATTAGAGTGTTAAAACTTAGAGAAAAAAAAAGTCACATATATTCTCATTGCACACTTTTTAGAAGAGTTTGAACAAGAAACTGCAGGAATGTCACAGGGAAAGTTGATCCCGCCTTTGAGAAGAGAAATGAATGAAAGCACAACTTTACTCATTTAACTACGTAGAAGTCTACTAAAAATCCATTTGTTTCCATTTCATCAGTCTGGGAGAAAATCTTTCCCTGCTAATTAGGCCGTTCAGTTTGTCTTTTGACTTTGTGTACTGGAGTCTTTGGTACTTAATAATACCTCATAGTCACAGAGGAAATTATTTAGTTAATTTCAAAATATGCCACATTGCTGGGCAGATACAAACAACTCCATTTTACAGATGCACTGATAAGTTAGCAGATGACTCAAAACCACAAGTTACATCAGGATCAAAGACAGGAGTGGAACTTGACATCTCCAGAATCCTGAGTTTAGGCCTTAACTACTGAAACACAGCGCAACAGCTGGAGATACTGAACAGGATGAAAAGGGTATGAAGAGAAGACATAAAATGAAAACCTAGTGGAAATACAGAGCAAGGAAATTGAGGGTTCTGCTTGGGAGAGATGAGGTCACTTTTTTTTTTTTTTAAATATGTCAGTCCTCTTTGCATTTCACAAGCATTATTTGTGATATTGCAAATAGTATCAAGTATGATCTAAAACACAAATAGGGACAGCAGATTTGGGGACTGAACAGAAGAGAAGAATTTTTATGACTGATGACACTTCAGTATCTGGTCCACAGCTGTAACTAATGGTAAATAATATGGACCTACTTCTATCCAAAAAAATATTGAAAAACAGTATTCTTGCTGACACCTTCTAAAACATTGCCAATGGCCATGGAATTCCTATAGTTTCTAATTTAACTGTAAACACTACGCTTCTGCATAATTTTTTTTTTTTTAAAATATGTCAGTCCTCCTTTGCATTTCACAAGCATTATTTGTGATATTGCAAATAGTATCAAGTATGATCTAAAACACAAATAGGGACAGCAGATTTGGGGACTGAACAGAAGAGAAGAATTTTTATGACTGATGACACTTCAGTATCTGGTCCACAGCTGTAACTAATGGTAAATAATATGGACCTACTTCTATCCAAAAAAATATTGAAAAACAGTATTCTTGCTGACACCTTCTAAAACATTGCCAATGGCCATGGAATTCCTATAGTTTCTAATTTAACTGTAAACACTACGCTTCTGCATAATTTCTTGTTGTGGCATTACAGTTAAAAAATACATGTTGAGACACAAGTCTGAGTTTTGGTCAAGTAACTATTGCATTTTAACAGTCATGACTCAAGTGATTCTGCATCAGAAGAACTTAATCTACATGTGAAATATAATTGATTCTGCCTGTTAACCCCATAATCTCTGAAATTGAAGGCCCTTTTCACCTCACAGTTTAGCACCCATCATTTAGGTTATAAGGCTTAGTTCTATTTTACTGTCACCAAGCACGGAACTTAGCCTGAGTTTGCCATAAGTAGATATTAGTGAACAACTCCACATCTCACATAAGGTTGTCTCTCGTCAGAATTGGATCTGTAGGGCTAATGCAGTAAAACACAGGACATAGCTTTTGTATTATTAAATTCACCACTTTTGTTTATGTTGAATATGAAAGGGGATTTTTTTGTTCTACTGATTTCTCAGAATCAGAACTGAATTTTAAAGTAAATATCCTTTTAAATCAGCCTGTAAGCAATTGTAAAAGACAAAGTAGGTAGCCAGTACTTTAAAGAACTATGGAAACTGGTTTTCTAGGATGTATTTCGGAAGGTGGTGCACTGTGAAGAAGCAAGAACAGAGTTGGTACATACTCAGTTCTAACAGAGTCCCTCTGGCAGTCTGCTGGGCTCAGACATTTCATTTGTCTATTTCTTCATTTAGTTTCTCTGTCTATAGCTTGAACCACAATATTTTTTATTTTTATGTACTGCATTTTCATCTTCCTAAAAGCTTTATAGGGGCAAGCATCTATTTTGTCCTTACAGCAGCCACACAGCCTGCTATTGAGGACACATGCTAAGTGTGTCTGCTTATTCAGGGAACATGTTTTTATTCTTTCTTGCCCTCCTTCATTTTAAATAAAAGTTTCAGAGGCTAGGGCTTGCTTTTCTGAATGGAAACAATGCCTTACGGGTGCTTTGGGATGGTTTCACAGTTAATGTCTGAATCTGTAAAAAGATATACAACTACAAAAAATCTTTTTTAATATGAGTCTTTACCCTGTTGCATAGAAAAAAGTTCAAGTTCTCACTAGTACAGTAACTGCAACAAACTACAAAATCATTAACAATAGCCTGAAGTGATATTATAATTAAGCCTGTTTATTCTTAGAGATTTTGCCCAGTGAAGCAATAAAATGAGACATTAAAGTAACATAGAAAATAAAACAAGACATTCATGTAGGGCAGAATTATGCCCAGGGAAACTCAGGAAAACAAGGTGGGTGTTTTGTAGTTTCAGCTTCAATGTCTTCTCCTCCCATCTTTACTTTAAATTCTTTCTCCTTCTCCTGGCTTTCTTGCCTAATCTTCTCTACCCTCCTATCTTCATTCTCAGACTTCCCTTCTCTAGTACCTGAAACCAACCCCTTTTCTGTCATCAAGGCTACCCTTCCTGTCTACTTCCAGGTCTGAGTATACTCTTCTTCTTGGACGGATTGATGAATCTTCAGTTTGAAGGATCCACACAGGTCAGGCTATCCCACCTTTTTTCTCATCATCTTTAACAAATTCAACCAGGTAACTGAACTATCACACGTTGAGCCAGTCCATGGTTACAACCTTTTGTCTTTCCCCTTCTTCCTGCCTCCTCTGAACCTAAAGTCTTTTGACTGATGTTAGTGGTTAGAAGTATCAGTGACTTTTCTGTCCTTTTTCCTGAATAAAGATGTTGAACAAGTGGCCCAGAGAAGCTGGAAGAACAGGTTGCCCAGGGAAGTTATGGATGCCCCATCATTGGAAGTGTTCAAAGTCAGGTTGGACAGGGCTTTAAGCAACCTGATCTAGTTGAAGATGTCCCTGACCATGGCAGGGGGGTTGAACTAGATGATCTTTAAAAGGTTCCTTCCAACCCTAACCATTCTGTGACTCTATGATTCTATGTACCTGATGGACTGAAGGTAGATGAGAGAGCAAGTATTTGGTGGAAAAAAAGGTGGTGAAAAGTTCCCATCTGCACATGTGACTAAGAGTCTTTGAGAGCACTTTTGCCCCAGAAGGAGTCTGTCTGTGTCACCCATGGGGCAGTTAGAACACCCTGCTAGATCCCTGACTGGCAGCTCCAATTCTGGGCTGTTTAAAATGAATTTATCCTGCTGTCAGTCCTCCCATCCACAATGGAAAACATTATGGCTCTCAGGTTATCCTGCCTCCAGTTTTCTGAATTTTCCAGTGAAGCAACAAGCTCTCGCAGTGCTATGGTGTTCTGATGTTTTCAAAACAAATTTGTGCTTTTGACGGTTACCAAAACTATTACTAACCTTTGGCAAACAGTCTTTCATATAAATGAGACTTTCTTTCATATTGCTTTAATCCACAAATCACACTGGCCACTGGTAGTACCATCGGTGACCATTTGAGGTAGAAAAGCTTGTTACACAAGTTTATTTTTAAAACTAAGTACAGTCTCTTTGTAAGTGATAACCTTTCCACATGAGTTTTCAAGATGGCCAGTGACATTAACATTGCTGCATCATGTTTTTCTAATGATCTTTTTTTCATTTAATTACATAAAGCTGGCAATTTTTATGTGGTCTATGATACATACATATTTTTGGAAGGCTGAAACTGGAATATCAATCTATGAAGCTAAACTTCACCCTACCAAACTGTTGCAGGGAAATTTACTATTCACACAATGTAGAAGATCAAAGTCTCAATTCAATTTCACTTCAGGACAGATATTAAGAAAATAATTTTCTGAAATCTGCCTAGATTCCTAACCGTCTTGAATGTATAAGAAATGCCTGCAACAACATCTGTCAAACACACATCAATGCACTTAATAATTTCACATTTCTTTGAATCATATATCTATTTAAATCTAAGAGGTATGTAAAAGATAGTTGCCATTAAACATTTTTATGGGAACAGCTGGAAGGCATGCCCAACACTGTATTCTTTTCAATGTGCTGATCAGTGTTACATCTGGAAAAGCTAATGCACTGTATAAGAAAGAGAAAGAGTCTGTCACAGAGAGAAAAGCCAGAGGTCCTCTCACTACTTTGTGGACTCAAGAGAGCAGAGCTGTCATCTGTGCCTTAAAGATAAGAAGGGAATCAGTCGATAAGGATTACTTGTGACGTCTCCCCCACACACACCCCCTAAACCCTCTTCCTGCTTCTGTAGTTAGAAAAAGTTTACAGGGGGACTTTTTGTCTTCACTTTCGGTAGTTGATAAAGGCGTCTTCAAAGAAACTTATGTGCTAGCAGGAAAAACAACTGCATGTATACAGCACCATATTCTTGTATACGTGAATACTTCACGTATTCAGCTCACAAGATCCCCAAAGCTCGACAGGCTGTATATTCAATAAAGATGTCAGACTGCACACTGCCATCATGCAATCCCCTCCAAGGTAGACCTTTTTCAAGGCTTAAATGCATATACAGACATTACACTGTCCTGTGGCACCTAACCTGAAGAAGACTTTCGTATCTAATTGGTAGTGTGGAAAATGTAAGATATGCTTCCCTGGCTTATTGCTGCCAGATGCAAATGTGCTCTGTCCTTACTCTGATAGATGCAAGAAACTCTGCTTGAAAAGGTACATAACTACAGTATCTGAATTACTCAGCTTCAGCTAATGACCACAGTCAAACAGATTTTTCTGAAGTGTGGGTCATATAATTTTAGATAAAATATGTCTTATATCTGGATATCTCAGAGCACAGGCACAGAGAGAACATCTATGTGAAATAAATCCACATTCTCTCCAGAGAGAGACATGAATTTCAGAATAAATAAAAGTTTTAACAACTTGATTCTCTCCATAACAGTTCAACTTTCCTACTGAATTATTTAACCAACTCTGTTGCAGCAGAATGCTACTCAGGAGCATACTCTTCCAATGGAAACCAACAGTAGTGTCTGTTAGATCCAGTACGTAATGTTATTATGGTCTGTGATGACTTAGGAGAGGGAACATCACTTCCATGCCAGATCTTGCAAGACAGCTTTCTCAGCATCACAGCACCACTGAAACATGTACTAATTCAAAGACCCATGCTCTTCACTGAGAAAGTGATGTGCATTTCATTTCCTGAAACATCCTATGCACACTTATAATAAGGTTGTGATCCAACTACTTTTCAGGATGTGTCCTGATTAGTTTACAAGGTCTGGAAAAAAATCATCCATATACACATTGAAAGTATTTCTAGATAGTGTGTGTCGGACAATCCATATCGTGTGGCAGTATCAATGTAACATTTTGTCAAATTATGTGGTAAAATTACATTTAATGAACAGGAAGTATAGGACCTGTTTAAAAGATACTGGTTCATGAAAACATGTTAACTCCAACCATATCCCATCGGCATATTGACCAAAAGGTTTTTTTGGTCTTCTCAAGTTTCATTTTAAAACTGAATACTTCAACCAAGGTTTTATTACTTGCTTTAATTTAAATTACATCGTGTTCAAAATAATCATAGCCATTTTATAATCAAAATGCTTGCCCAGATAAATTTGAAAGCCTAGATAGTGTTCATTAGAGAAAATAGAAGTAAAATTAACTTAATTACTTAAAGCTCGGGAGCTGTTAGATGCTGTAATTATGAAGATTGAAGAGTTCAGACACATAGATAAAACAGATAAATAAACTGCATATTGTCATGAAAAAATTTGTACACTCAGTTTACAAAGATATCTCTACTGTAAGATCACTTATAGTTAAACCTAGTCAGGTTGCTACACACACTTGCATACCATTTCTTTGTCTATACTATCAGTGCAACTACTGAAAAGCATTTGTGAGGGAGTACTAGAACTGTAGCTATTGTGAGAAAAGATGTAAAGCAGGGAAGAGTGGAAAAAGCTCAAAGGCAAATGTGGCAGAAACACATGGAAGACTTAAAGCTACATTGAAACAAAGGATTATAAAGGCTGAACTTTGTTACATATTCCCATTTCTCAGTTTGCACAAAGATTTGTGATTTGGCTAGCTGTAAATTAATTTAGGCCACAATGAACAAAGCACCTCTGTATCTGTTGGACAGTATGGATCACAGTAATGCTCCTCCCAGTGATGCAAGAGTTGTGACTACCAAAAGAGTGTCTTGCTACTTCCACTAAGTCAAATCTCAATCATTTATGCAAGAAGTATTTGCAAATTGGATTCTGTTGTTAAGCTGAAGGGAAGTGACCTATTGCAAGGAAAGAAAGGTCAGCAAGGACCTTCTTTGCAGTAAGCAAGGACATTTTTTCCAGTATTTAGAGCTGTTTGGTAAATGTAGAAATATATAGCTACCAGTGACCTGAGAGGTAGAAAGAACTGGGAGTAACTGGTTTCAGCCATATAAGAAGTCTGTTGTCACAGTATAATCAAAGATGTTAAGAAATTATGCAAGCACTACAGGAATAGGGAAAAAATCAGATTGATGAAGGTGGGAAGAAGATTTGGACTTTAGGAGACAGACCAAAGGTTTGGGAAGCTCTGAACAACTGAACAGGTATCTAGTTATTTTCAGACTAGTGAACCAAGACATCATATTCCTCTGAGAGACTAGCAAGGTGGGGAGGTAAACAGTTCTGCTTGTTTCAGTCATTTTGGAAGCTGACACCAAACCAGTCCCCATCATCTTTCTCAGCTTCCAGCTGCCACTTGAGAAGGTCTCAACTTCCAACGTCCACAACTCAGTTTTTATTGTCTCAGGGAAGTGATCCTGGTTCCCAGTCCTCAAAGCAGAGAAACTTCCCTCCCAAATCTTTCCAGTATGCATCCTTAAGGAAGCAAAGACACACAGGCTGGCCATCATCTGAGAAGCAACAAACAACTGTAAATAGAACCATTAATGGACGATTTCTTTTATGCCTCTTAATGCAAAAGAAGAAGAATCAGAAGTGGATTTGTGTTTACCCCTTGAATAGACTTTTGGATGCAGATGAGAGAGAGCAAAAAGAAAGTCAGCGCATTGGCCTGTCTTTTGTGGGAGGAGGAGCACTAAGATCCATAACTCACACTATCTTGCAATAGGCAGAGGCCTCCAGGCCCCGGAGCAGCAGGTTGAAACAGGCTAGTAGCGGTGAGAATATCAGACCAAAACAGGCTTGTTGGGTGGGCAGGATAGTAAGGCTTTTGGAGAGAAAAGAAGCAGCAAATAGTTGAGAAGAGGCTGGGGGAGATAGAGAATCACATACTTCTGTTTGAAAAGATTTCAGTGCAGCTTCAAGAGACAGAAAGACACATGGGTCACAGGGAGAGGCAGAAGGGAACAAAAAATATGGTTTTATGAGAAGTAGAGGTGTTAGGAAGAGAAGGTGGGTGGAGATTTGCAGAAATGTATCCGTTTCCCTCCCTCCCATTTTCTTTAAGGGCGTTTTTCTCAGAGCTTTTCCTCTCTTTTCTCCTCCCCACAGCAATCAGCCAAGCTGGGAAGAAGAGATTGTCTCTCAACTTAGTAGTGTGTCTTGGCACAGAAGACTGATAGTAAATAAGTAAACAGAGTTGACAACTGTAGTAACCGCAGGAGCAAAGCCTGCTCAGTGAAAAGGATGAGGACTCTTCCAGAGGTAAGGAAATGTGTCTGTTTTGCAGTCTGCTGAGGTACCTTCGTTGCACCCCTCTCTTTTTCTTCCCCTGTCACAGCTACACTGCTTATTGCCCTAGGGAACTGGAGCAGTCGAGTTTTTGACAGTTTGTATCCAGAAGGGCCTTGTCCAGGTCTCAGAATTAATGACGTGGGATATGGTGCGAGGATTTAGGGGTTCTTGCCCTTCCTGTTAGTCATCCTAATGGCCATTCTGAGGCTGTATTCAGATCTGTTTGAAGCACTGACCAACAAGTAGTAGTAGTAGTAGTAGTAGTAGTAGTAGTAGTAATAATAATAATAATAATAATAATGTGATTATTTGAATCTTTTATTGTATCCCCATTTTTTCAACAATTTCTTTTAAGACAGTACTTATGCAGAAACATGCAAATTTTTTCCCCACAAATAATTGTGGGTAAACATGGCATAGTTTTCTGAATTTGAGAATGACATGGTAAGTCTAATTGCTCCCCATGTAGTGTGGTGTCCTTTTCCTGATTTGATGTCTTACATAAATAACCAGTAAAGTGTTAATTGCATATTTACAGACAAATCGCACTGAACTGAACTGTTAGCTCAGGGTTGCTAAAATGTACAAAACATTCAAGGACAATAAAGAAAAGTAAAGTTTTCTATGTAACTAAATAATATCAAAAAAGAAATGTGTATTTTTTGTTATGTTGAGAGCTGTTCAGTATTGCAAGAGCTGTGGCTGGAATGCAAATGGTCCCTTTATATTTATCTTGTCTGCATTTTTCTGGCTGAAGAATTTGCAGAAGTGTTTGGTTTGTATATCCATTCTCATATTTCTG